ATTTTCCACTCCTCTTGTTCTCTCTCGCTCTCTCTCTCGCCGGGGCGCAGCAACAACTCCTTGTAATTTCAATACTCCACCACGATATATTCCGTGCGCGCGCGCGCTTGCGAGTACGGCCGAAACTTCGAACGGATAATCGAAAACTATCTTGAAGCGAGCCAGGCACGCGGAAAACGAATACATTATAAAGCCCGCGGGGTGCAGTTTACTGATTTATACATATAACGTACGTTTGGTTGCTTGACTCGAACTATTTTCACTTTGGAGGTATACATAGAGGACGATAATTTGAAATACGAGGACAACGACGACGATGACTCGATCATCTGCATCGAGGTGCTCAGCGATGTAAATGATAATAATAATAATGACGATGGTAAAAAAAAGAGGTTTTCGTTAATACCTTAAAAGCAAAATTTAATTTACCGTAAAAGCTACATCGCCGTAAATTTTTTCTTTTTTTTTTTTTTACCTCCGTAGTACTTTTAACGAAAACGCGTATGTATGTATGCGCATAAAACGAGCTTGCGTCCCACGTACGTGTGTGTGTGTGTGTGCGAATGTTTGTGAGTATGGCTCGCAAACACGCCTTTGATATTCTCTCTTTTTCGGTCAAAATCCTTGAGCTAATGAAAGGCGGCGGGGCCGAGCCGGGCCGGGCGCGCGTTTGATTCGCTCGGTATATATATAAATGAGAGGGACCTGTGCAGCACACGGAGAAAGGACGCTGGGCTGCACTTTCGACTCTCTCTCTCTGTCGCGCAGCAACTTTGGAATGTCAATCGCGGCGCTCGGTCCAAAGTCGAGCGCGCAAAAGACGACGTCGAGAGAGAGAGAGAGAGAGAGAGCAAGAATCGCTCGAGTGCTTCAGACAGCAGCAGCAGCGCCGCCTCTGCAGTATAGTTCCGCACTGTGGTGCGTGCGTATAAACTTGTGGCTAATTAGTGTTTCGGCTCTCTCTCTCTATCTCGACTCGATGGCACTCGACTGTTATTTTTTTTTCTCCCCCTTTTTTTTTTTTTATCATCGATTCCGCAGAGCTTCGTACGCGTACATAATTTTTTTCCACCGCTATCATCTACTACTACTTTATACTACTACCGCTACCACACTATACTATTTCCTTTCATCTTCTCTTTCGTAATATAGCGCGATGCATTTCCAGGTCACGAGGCGCCTGCTCGCGAGTCTCAAGTTTCGCGTTACAATGAACTGGAAACTTTTCATGTGCGACGACGACGACTACGACGGCGAATCTCTGCGCTCGCGCGCGCGCGGCCCACAAGACAGGAAAAGATTCAGAGAAGCAGAGATGATCCAATACCGAGCGTTATTTTATATCGTATATGTACGAGAAGAAAATAATCAGCCTCTTCCACGTCGGGCGAATAGACCGCGGATTATCCCTGCGTACATAGCGTGTGCTTTTTGCTCCGACGTATCGCAGCCGGGGCTAGAGGAGAGCTTGCAAGCTCACTGCGAATGCGGCGCGCATACCTCCGGGAAATCTGCTTTATGCTCCGCGCGCGCGCACCGAGCAGCTGTCGAGCCTACGAAAAAAAAATTCGCTCTGTATATACGCGCGCGTTTACACGACTGCATAGTAGTCGTTTATTACCCACGGTGCTTCTATTTTTTTTTTTTTTTTTGGAATTTCGAAGTACGCACGTTATCGCGAAAAACGTCGGGCGCTCGGAAAGCCTCGCGCCGCGAGACACGCGTGCCACGCTCGAAGATAAATCCGAATATATAATACAAACGAGTTCGCGTGTTTGTTGCGGCATGTCGTTCGCGCGGGAGTTATTTGCGCGAAAATTTTTTTCTTTCCCCGCGCGCACACTAAAAGTATTTATCAAATTTCCAGCTCGTAACTCTTTTGCTCTCGCGCGCAAGTCTTTTTTTTTTAATACCTGAAAAACTATAATATATAATGCTACCTTCGACCTGAGCGCTATTATTATTACAATATAATGCTCGGGCTGAAAAGTTTGCTTTCCTCGCAACCGCATATACAAAAGAGAGCGTACCGTATACGTTATATAGGCTTTATTAAATGTTCATGGCGTTCGCGTTTTATGGTTGCGCACAGCGTCGTAATATATAGGAAACTTATATATATACGTTCGGTCGATCAACAAAAGGATACCTCAAGATTTATACGATATTTTTGCGACATAACTCAGCGCATATCTATATAAATATATAACGTATATGCTACACCGAGACCGAAGAATAAAAAATGCGCGTGGTGCCTTTTTTAGGTCGTTGGCCGCCACCTTCGCGCGGCCGAGTCCGTATACGCGAGGAAACGACCACTCGGCACGAAAGCTCGACGACTAGCGATTTGTGCAAGTTAACGTTTCTTCGGCACGACAACAGCAGCTTTTTTGCCCCGCGCCGAGTCCTTCGAGGCTCGAGCGACACGATCGTCATCGTCGCGGTTCTTTTCCTTTTTCTAAACGACGGAGAAAGTGAACGAGGAAGATCCTCGATTGTGCGTTGTTTTTTTTTCCTCGTCGAGCTTTTCAATATAACCGTTCGAGATTGCATTGTTTCACACCCAACTCAATGATTCGTACGTGCTCGCTCGTTCATTTGACCATTCATCAATCCGATACGATGTTTCAATTGTTTGCATCGGCGCGCACTTGTGTATTATATACATTAGTACGTAAAACGGCGAATTTAAAAGAGCGTACAGCAACGAAGGATAATTATTATTATCACGCGCTCGAATCCAACAAGCGCGCGAGCATAATCAATCGGAAGTGCGATAGGTAATTATGCGCATATAATCAATATATAATGCGTTATATGGCCGTGTTGCTGCTGCTTGTTTGCTTATCGAGGTAAACTGTTATATACGCGCGGGTTTTTGCAATTCGATCGCTACGCACTCGGTGGGTATATTTTCATTGTGTTAATTCGTGAAAATTTATTTATCCCAAAGCGCAATTGCTCTCGAACGTATATGATATATAAACACACACGGGGGGCAGCGCGTGCTTGTGAAAGTCATTAGAGATTTTCCACATAATAATATAATATAGCGTGCAACGAGCGGGTAAGAGGATGTGAGCATCGATTTAATAGATACTTAATAATTTTGCCAATATATCGGAGAATTTGTTGAGGGGGGATAGTTTGTACAGCGCTTGTATATAATGTGTATAAATTTGTGTTGCGTCGATTCGAGTCCGAAAATGCGAACGACCTACTTATGAATTTAATCGAATTGAATATAATGAGAAGCTCGTCAATTGAATGTAGTCAAAGCTTATATTTTTTTTCTAAAAAGTATACCCGTTGAACCGCGAGATTCAAAATATGCTTACCTGCATCTCCTATCCACTTTCATGTGCGGCGTCTCTGCACGTGATACACGAATCGTGTACTCGTGTGTAGGTGTATATATTATTATATACTGCTGCTGCTGCTGCTGCTGCTGCACTCGCGTAGCGAAGACGACGCGAAGATTAAGCTCGAGAGCTTTCGTGGAGGCGATGCCGCGAAGCTCACTCGGCGGGTATACGCGTACAACGCGAACTTTATTATAACTCGGCTACTTTAACGCGCGGCTGTACATATACTTTGCTCGCTCCTCCTCGTTGTCGTAAGCGCACGTGGATTTTCTTAATGTGTATAAATATCAGCTGGTGTCGCTGCTACGCTGCAAAGTTCCTCGCGCGAATCATATGCGACGATGATGAGACACACGCGAGCGAATAGTTTGCCGAGCTTTTCTCTCTGCAGGGCTCTATACACGTACTTTGCACAAAATTATTAAGCTCTATATATTGTTTCCGTCGCGATGCCGCGTGACGTAGTATAGCGGAATTATGAAAACACACGCGCACGCACAGACACACACATTCGAATTTTCAGAGAGAGAGAGAGAGAGACACACTGGTTATATATGTAAAATATGCCTGCACACTGCACCAGGGACAGAGAGAAGTTTTCACGCTGGGAAGAGAAACTGAAGCTCGAAACTTTGTTTAATATGCACACACAGACTATAACAACGGGAAAGAAGAAGCCACATCGCACGCGTAGTTCACCGTATATAGCTGTATACAATGGGTGGGTGGATGGATGGGAGCCGCGCCGAGAGCGACGGACGACTGAAGGCTTTTCGTGCTCTCGCAAGCCCGGCAAGCTTGCGACGGTAGTCAGAGAGAGAGAGAGAGAGCCACACACGCACACACACACACAGAGCCGGCGCGTGCAGTGTGTATATATATCGCGAGAGCGACTGCGCGCCGCAGCGCAGCACGTGGGATTCGAGCTGTGCTGCAGACGGACGGATAGAGAGCGAGCTTAACGCGGCTGCGCGATCCATCTACCCCCGTGTTATATATATATCGTGCGTGCGCGAGATATATATCTGTTTAACGTTGTATAAATTCATATACACGTATAGATACGAGTTAATTAAAATCTGAAATTTTGGCACGAGCGTGTGAGGCGACGAGAACTAGGAGGGCAACGGCGACCACGACCACTACCACCGACACGATTACTTTTTCGGGTGTATGTAATAGCCTGGGTTTCTACATCGCGTGTGTTTACATTTAAAGTTCGCCCGACATGGGTGAATTAACGAGGTTTTTTTTTCGTTGGGTTTTGTAATATTTCCCTAGTTGATCGAAACTTTTCATTTCTCTGGTTATAATTTTAATGATCATCGACTGTATCTATCAATGTATATTTTAAAAAATATTATCAACAAAATGTTCAAATCTCCCGAGTTTTTCCACCGAGCAGCGCTCACGACGCCAATCGAATCTCATCACAATTACTTGAGCAACGATGGATTGTTTTGAAATTTAGAACACTCGACTCTCGATCAGTCAGTCGTGGTCAGAGTCTCAGCCTACAGCCCTGAACATTTCTCTCGCTCGCCTGTGACAGAAGCATCTCGATCGTATAATCAAGATTTCATACCACCCCCCCCCCCCCCCCCCCCC